CAGGTAAGAACTACTGCTCAGGTGTGGAGAGCTAGACACACAGGTAAGAACTACTGCTCAGGTGTGGAGAGCTAGATGTACAGGTAATGCCGCCCAGTTGTTGTTGTTGTCAATCACTATACCTGTTAGATTTATGATATCGGTGGCTATATATGTCATCGGCACTATGGCTACAGGGAATATCTACTCCACGATGAGCTGAAGAATGATTCCTACATGAGTGGCGGTGTGATTTGTTCACGGAATTCTCTGACCTTGATCATTCCCCGACCTTGAGGCTGCTGCGTGTACGGGTGAACTCGGTGGTAGGTGCGGCGTCGCTCGCTCGCTCGCCGGCAGCAGCAGCAGCAGCTAAGCCTCGTCTGTTTGCCGCTCCTTACAGCTCGCTTCCATCCAGGAAGAGAAGATCGGTCTGACGGTCGAAAACCAAAGATTGCAGGAGAAGATCCACATGTCAGAGCAGCTGCTGGACGAAGACAGGTAATCTATATATCCGCCTGCAGCGTCATCGCCGGGTTACTCTCGCCAGCCAACCAGAGTCGCGACGAAACATTGTTTGCTCAGAAACCCTCAGCCCCCAAAAAATATAGCGAAATATAGTCCCACCTCACAGCGGATATATCACTGATTACGCCAGCATTAAAAACACCAAGATTTTAAGCAGTTATAGCATAGAAAATTGGATATGAACACATCGTTACTCTAGACAATTGCTGTTACTCGAGCAATAACGGTAGGTATCATGAAAGTGGTGAAAACACTGGAAAACTCTCGTAATAATTACTTTAATTGAGCGACCCATCGTTAGCGATCTACACGCGTCTCGTTGTCTTTCTCGCCGCACATTACCAGCGATGTACTATTTTTAACGTTATCTACATAAGAGTCGGTCAGCAGCGATGGAGTGAACGAATCTTTCTGACGATGGTTGGGAACGATATCATCGTATCGAGAGACGTCGTCTATTCGTAAAATTCTCGCCGATAAACGTTAACATCGTTGCTCACCGTAACCGCGCAGTGTTTCGACAACGTCGTGGACGATCGAGCGATTAAGCGCGGCCGGTGTAGACGTTTGTTTGCGTGTCGTCGTGGCGACAGCAGCGGCGGCAGCAGCACGGCGGCGGAGAGGAAGTATCAACATCTGCAGGCGAAGGTCGACAACTTCCAGGACGAGCTTTATAGACTGGAGAACGTCTGCCAGGATCAGCGCATTAAGCTGGAGCTGCAGGAGAAAGAAATACTCGACGTCCAGCTAAAGGTTCGCCTTCAGTGGTTGTCGTTACATCTCGGTTCACGCTCCTCATCCTCATCCTCCTCGTTCTTTCTCCTCAGCTTCCTATTGTAGTTGAGTGTATAATAGCTACTTTGCTATATAGAGAAGTAGCGGCACTTGTTATTTTTATCTCTCAGGGATGCACAGGGAAGCCATAGCTTATTGCAGTGACGGTTGACACGGGTTTGACTGTGTCATGATGCATACATGTATATGTCTGTAATACGTCTGTTTTCTCCCCTCCCCTCTATGTCTACACAGCTACTTATGTAGCACGCCCCCCACCACCACCTCCTCTATCTATGAAGGTAACAGCCACACGCGTGTTTGCCTGTGTAACTCTTGTTGCGTTATCCGGCAGAACGAGAGCCTGGTGAAGCTGGCGGACGAAGCACGGAGTCTCAAGGATGAGGTCGACATTCTCAGACACAACTCTGAGAAGGCCTTGCAGTACGAGCTGTCGATAGACACTTACAAGAAGAAGCTAGGTAAGTTACATTAGGTTAGCTCTCTCCCCCTGCGCATGTGTTGCGGTTACCACGGTTACCGCGCATGCGTTGTGGTTACCACGGTTACCGCGCATGCGTTGTGGTTACCACGGTTACCGCGCATGAGGTTACCACGGTTACCGCGCATGCGTTGTGGTTACCACGGTTACCGCGCATGCGTTGTGGTTACCACGGTTACCGCGCATGTGTTGTGGTTACCACGGTTACCGCGTATGTGTTGTGGTTCCCACGGTTACAGTGCGTAAGCCGTCTCAGTGCAAGAGTAAATTACTGGATAGTTGTAAGCATGGCACTGTATGTATGCTCTTGTTGTTTCCAATAACTGACATGCAATGGTTGATGTAAATGTTGCGTTTTACGTGATACATACTTAAAGTGATTACGTCACCGGAAATAATAAAAAAAAATATTTCCACTTTTTCACAAAATACAAGTAATTCTGTTCACTTTTTATGGTTAAATTGCTGCATTATACTTCTTATTTTACTATATTTTTCAATGTGAACATACACTTGTGACGCATACATAGCCCTAAGCAAGCAATTAATGTTATGAACACTAATATTAAATCGTCCAGGTTTTTTGGATTTTTAACTAGCTGAGAAACAATCTTATCAGGTAAGAATTTGACGATACGTTTAGTCCTGTTGGTTCTTACTTCAAATGTAAAAAAATGGCCAATTTTATTTTACAAATTTCATCATAGAAAATTCGTGACGTAATCACTTTAACTACATCATGTACAATACTAAAACTTGGTGGGTTGCTATACTAAAATACTAAAATCTGGGGAATGCTTCGCTTGTGATGTCGACGTCAATTCTGTGTGTTCAACCATTTTTCTCTTATTGCAGAGGAGATGGGTGATGTAAAGAGACAGCTGAAACTGTTGGAGGAAAAGAACACTAACTATGTTCAGAGTAGCATGGAAATGGAGGAGGTAGGTTGCATTCTGTCTAAAATATTGCAATGTGAATAGGATTGCATGTTTTAGCATTCGTGGTAACAGATAAGAATGTAATAGGACGTGTAATCTCATGTGTTCGCACTGCGGAAATACCATACTGTATATTCCTACCAGATATCCCGTTGATAATAAATCTTCCCTCTCCTTCCCCTCCTCCTCCCTCTCCTCCTCCTCATCCTCCTCATCCTCCTCCCTCCTCCTCTTCATGGTTTCTCTCTCCCCTGCTAGAGCTGAAGGAGGCCGCATGTCATTCCCCATTGCAGGTAGACCCCACTCCTCCTTCCCCTCCTGCCTCCCCCACCTCTCCTTCTCCTCCCCTCCCCCTCCTCCACCTCCTCTCTACCTCCTCCTCCTCCTCTCATGGTTTCTCTCTCCCCTGTAGGAGCTGAGGAAGGCGCAGTCGTTCCGCACGCAGGTAGACCCCACCTCCTCCTCCTCCTCCTCTACCTCCTCCTCCTCCTCCTCCTCCTCTCATGCGTTTTTTCTCTCTCCCCCTCCTTCCACCTGTAGGAGCTGAGGAAGCGCGCAGTCGTTTCCGCACACATGAGACCACCTCCTGCCTGCTCCTCCTCCTCCTCTCCTCCCCACCTCCTCCCCCTCCCCCCCTCATCCTCCATCTCTCGATGCGTTGTCTCTCTCCCCTGTAGGAGCTGAAAAGGAAAGGCGCAGTCGTTCCGCACGCAGGTAGAGCGCTATAAGAAGGAGATCCATGAGCTTCACGCCTAAGCTGTCGGAGGAGAGCAAGCGCCGCCGACCGTCTCGACTTTGACAACAAGCGACATCACGAAAAAACTGTTCCTTGGCAGCCGCCCGAAGAACGATGGGTGAGAGAGGGCGCCACCTGCGCCGTGCATGCAGCCGTGTGTGCATGTGTGTGCGTGCGTGCGTGAGCGCATGCGTGCATAGGTGTGCGTGCTGGAAGCGTGCGTAGCGGTGCTGTTGCGCTGCGTGCGTGCCGCGGCACCCGTGTGTGCGTGCCGTGCGTGCGTTGCTGTGCGTGCGTGCGTGTGTCTGTCGCGTGCCGGTGCGTCTGGTTGCGTGCCTGTGCGTGCGGGCCTGTGGAATACTGTTACGTTGCGGCATTGCTTGCCGTTCCCGTACAGATCGCTGTGTGCCGTATGTTGTGTGCGTACGGTGTGGTGTGTGTGTGCGTGCGTGCCCGTGCGTGCGTGCGTCGCTGTCGCCGTGCAGCACTGCGTGGTGTGTGATGGGTGAATACTTTACCGCCTGCCACTGCTGCCGTTCCTTTACAGCCAGGCCATGCTGTGTGGTGCGTTGCGTGTGAATATGTGTATGTAGTATGTGTATGTCCTTACAGCGGCTGTGTGTTGTGTGTGTATGTAGTATGTGTATGTCCTTACAGCGGCTGTGTGTATGCGTGCGTGTGTGTGTATGTAGTATGTGTATGTCCTTACAGGCTGTGCCGCGTGCTACCGTTGTGAATACTTACGTTCCCTTACAGCGGCTGGTCACAATGAGAGATTCACTCAGTGAAACAAACGAAGAGCTGAGGATGATGCTGCTGCAGTCAGGGGCAGGTGAGAACTTGTTACACTAATTATTCAACTACTCGTCTACGCTACACTAACTATTAATTTATTAAATTACCAACTTTATTGAATGTTTAGTTGTTATCGCGTTTATGCGAGATTAGTTCTTAAATTTTGTTATTCGTGTTCTACTCTTTTTCTTTTCCTGGTCGATTATATTTTCTGTTATATATTCTATACTATTTCGTATTCTAATTTTTATATACTATTTTATTCTATTCTATTGTATTTTTTTCTATTCTATGTTTGATTATATTGGATTTTTAACTGCATCTGACATAGATCAGATGCAGCTTGTAGAATCGCCATGAGCGTTGCGCTCCGTCCGGTGCATTCTGTCGGCCATGCGTTCGCTGCCGTTCAACAGTTGGGCACAAATTTAACCACTCGACGTACGGTCACGATATTTGGGACGTGGGGGGTAATCCGGAAAACGAGTTGGATGTCGAAGCTGGGGGTCAAAGGTCAAGAGGTGTAAGAAGGGAAAATTCCTAACTTAAAGGTATCAGGGAGGGAAATGCCCAGAATTGGACGGCACAAATCTAAACGGCTCGAACCTAGGTCGTGATAGTCGGGTTGTATAGCATCATGGTAGGAAAATGCCTCACTGTGAGGAAATTGGAGGTCAAAGGTCAATGTGGCGGCACAGGGCAGATTTGTAGACAATTTTCTGAGGACCATGGTGCATCTGATGGACGAATTTGGTATTCAGCGGTGACCTACCCATTTGTGGATGGCTTTATTGAAAAAAAGACCAGTTGAAATTGTACTTTCCGTGACATGCGATAAGAGTAAGTGTCGGATAACTTTCTGACCCTCAAGAGGGAGGGTTAAACATTGTATTTGTTGACTGTTAAACAAAGGACTGAACTGCTTTTGCTATTATCAGATGCCCATACCTGCTTGTGAATGTGAGGCTACAGTTGCACAGTTGAATTTGCAAAGACCAATGTTTTGTTGAACAAGGGGGATTTAGCTCTTTTTAAATCATATTATTGTTCTAAAAGCAGTCTGTCTATTACACCCTGAAGGCCTGACCATCAGTGATGCTCGTGTAGAATAGGCAAAAACACGGGGCAGCCCATGGTTGCACGCTTCCTAATCATAATTGTTGCCTGCCAACCTGCAATGCACATGTGTCTGCAATGCATAGAGGAGTTAGGTGGCGTGCGAAAGTGTTAGCCTGATATTATTTGTTCGAATTGCGCTATGAAGTCAAACAAGAAAAAGAAGACTTATGTATAGAGTCTTGCTATGTACAAATGAATTTATCAGCAGAACACCAGACACCAGATGCTAGCGCTGCGCACTGCCGGCACTTGTTGGTGTATAATGTGTTATTATATCGTTTTTTCCAAAGCCACTTGTAAAACACATAATTACAGAGGATAATAAATCTGTGTGCTGTGCATTTTTTAGAGAGAAGCAATCATTGCTAGAGAACTCACCAGATGACAGCACCATCGCTCACATGCTGGAATTGGTGCCTCAGAAATCAAGTGAGTTTATCGATGTTTGTGGGGATTGTGATCCACGTGAAACTACTAATACCAGTAGTTCGTCATCTATCAAGTCTTCCTAGTACTCAGTGATCTTGTGTAACAATTCTTATAACCTACCTGTGATTAATATACCTTAGCACGCGATTGTTTATCTAAAGTACTAAATTTTCTGATTGTTGAATTAACCTCATCGTGATCATTGTGCATGATATATATAGATATATATATATCAGAAGTATATAATAGGGAAGGAGTGTGACTTCAATAAACAACGCAAATTCGCTCATTTACTAGCCTTAGAATACCTACGATTTACTATGCGTAACTCAACCAACTTGAGACTCAAAATCGTTACACAGTACATTCGCCCTAGCATCGTTGACGAAATCGTATTCCTCGTATACACTCGCAATTCCGGGAGATACAGACTAAAACGCTACGACACGATTATGCCATTCTGTTGCCCGCTAACCGAATGTATAAAACTGCCCATAACTTTGAAACAAAAGGCCAGCTACTAGCGACTGATTGCCGCAATCTTGCTCCCTATGGCGATGCGCGTGCTGTGGGTCGCTAGTTGAGCTGCCTTTTGGGTTTCAATTTAGCGGTTTATACATTCGGATTTGTCGGCCAACAGAATGGATAATCGTGTCTACGTTTTAGTCCTGGTATCTCCGGATTGCCGGGTGTCATACGGATTGGAAACGATTTCGCACGATGCTAGGCGAATGTACTGTGTATTTACGATTTGAGCTCAAGTTGAGTTGTGAGCTTACGAGTAGTTAGATCGTAGGTTATTCTAAGGCTAGTAAATGACGAAATTTCCTTTGTTTAGTTGAAGTCACACTCCTTTCCCTATTATCTACTTCTGATATATATATATATATATCTCTGATCATGCTGTGAAATGCTAATCACTAACGTTTCGAATTAATTTTTGTGTGCTAATTCTTGGCCGTATTTTTATTTTTTATAGTTTTTATTAGTACGTTTCCGTCATCTCCCGGTTTGCTATGTAAATCGGTTGTTCAGCGCCAATGACCTGTCAGAGCCAGTCTGCCCATGGATCCACATGCGACAGTAAACACCCACAAGCGCATTCTAACTGCCCACAAAGAACCTAAATCACTATTAATAATAATAGCTTATTTATTGAGGTTCATTGCCCTTTCTCCCCTCTTGTTGCTTGCTTGTCTGAGTTAGTACACTGAGATTTTTGGAGTGTTTTTTGAAGAGTTTCTTAAAACCTAAGTGACAAAAATTTTGCTTGGTACAAAAGAAACCCTACAGTATATCCCCCATCTACCGGGTCCAGTTTCTCCCTTCCCTCGGCAGCAGTCTGAGTTATAGACTGGCGCTGGTGTTTACTGCCGCATAGTTGGCTGGGTCGGCTATAGCGTGTGCTAGGCGGTCATGTGATTTCTTGCCTTTGTATTTCTTTTGTTTTTTTTTTGTTTTTTTTTTGTTTGTAGGGATGATGACGTGTTGGTTGTCAGGTAGGCTCCTGTTTTTCGTTGTGCAAGGCTAGCAGCGCACACTACTTGCATGTTATCGCACTTAACACGCACGACTCACGCTGTTTGCCGCCGACGATGGCGCCCCGCGCTGTTCTCGGTGGCGGGCCCGCGCTGTTCTCAGGTGGCGCCACGCTTGTCTCGGGGTTGGCCACCGCGCTGTCACGCGCGGCGATGGCGCCACGCTTGTTTCTCGGTGGCACCGCCGCTGTCACCGCGACGGTGGCGCCGCGCTGTCTCGGTGGCACCGCGCTGTTGCCGCCGACAGGTGGCGCCCACGCATGTCTCAAGGTGGCCACCGCCGCTGTCTCGGATGGGCACCGCCGCTGTTTCCGCCCGCGGATGGCGCGCGCGCTGTTTCTCGGTGGCCACCGCGCTGTCGCCGCGACGCGTGGCGCCGCGCTGTTCGGTGGCCACCGCCGCTGTTTCCCGCGACGAATGGGCGCCGCGCGTGTCTCGGTGGCACCACGCTGTTTGCCGCGACGATGGCGCCACGCTGTCTCGTGGCCACCACGCTGTCGCCGCCGACGGTTTGGCGCCACGCTGTCTCGGCTGGCACCGAGCTGTCGCCGCGACGGATGGCACCACGCTGTTGCTGCCGGACGGTGCACACGCGCGTGTTGCCGCCGACGGTGGCGCCGCGCTGTTGCCGCGACGATGGCACCGCGCTGTTGCCGTGACGGTGGCACCGCGCTGTTGCCGCGACGGTGGCACCACGCTATACGTACACGTCGTGTGTTCGTGAGCATCCCCGGTTGCACACTCGCTACTGTTGTCACTAACCCCAGCGTTTGCATCTGGCTGGAGGATTGTGAGGGTGGGTGTGTGTGAGCGTGCAGCACTGCAGTATGCATGGTTATCGCGCGTGCGCTTGTGTGTCGTGGGTCACATGCGCACGCACGAAGCAGCACGGAGGCTCAACAAACCACTCGACGAAATGCTTTCGCCGATTTAACGACGTTTGTCTCGTGCGTACGTGATCCGATCCTAACAAATCGCTGAGGCTTTGATGACTAACATTTACCCGGTGTTAGAGTAGAACTGTGTGGGTGGGGGGGGGGAGGATGTTGCCAGGTTAGATGTGAGTAGACGGCTTTTTTGTCACGCAATTTATTTCGGGTCACCGCGCATGCGTTGCAGTGATAGTGACACTAACTAGATTGTTTACAGGAATGTTGAGAGATTGTGTGTAGTGAAGAGTTGGGTGTGTGTACGTGTGAGTGCATGCGAGATGTGTATGTGTGAGTGTATGTTTATTTAAGGGTGTGTTTGTGCGTGCTTGTGTGCAGGTGTGCGTGCGTGTGTGTGTGTGCGTGCATGTGTACATGTATGTGTAATAGTTTAAAAGTTTATAAATGAGCGTGAACGTCAACATGCCTATAGTTTCTTGTATTGTATATATGTATAATTTCCAGATAAAACATTTCAGTTTTTTCACATTGATTGAAAGCAACTGGATCACATTATGCTTACATTATTCAGTATATGACACAGTTAATCTCAATTATTCCATGTAAAATGTGTTGGAATATCCACCATTTCCACATATTCTATAGTACATTAATAACTACACCACTTGATAGTAATCCTGGGTGTTACCATGGTTACTGCATAATTTTAGGGAGAAGCTCATACGACTACAGCATGAGAACAAGCTGCTGAAGTTGTCAGCAGATGGCAGCACTGATGACAATAGTCGGATGCTGCAGAGTATGTTAGATGATGCTAATGTGCGTATCAATGAACTGCAGTCTGCATCAAGGTAACCACTTTGCTACCTACCTACCTAACATAACCAGCCTGCATCTACCTATCTACCTGCCTACCTGTCTACCTGTCTACCAGCCTGCCTGTCTACCTGCCTACCTGCCTACCTGCCTGCCTGCCTGTCTGCCTGCTTGCCTGCCTGCCTGCCTGCCTGCC